TCCGTCAAAAAACGTTTAGATGAAAAATGGCTGAAGAGCTCTACAGCCAGTGCAGGTCCTGCAGCACCAGTGCTGTGTGCACCTGCTCACATGGTGCCTGTGCCCTGCACCACCCTCAGCTCCTGAATGGAAGAACACAGAATGAAGTAGCTGCAGAAGTGGGACATTTACTCCGCCTGATTCTCTTTGAAGATGTCAGCTGAAAGCAGATCTCTCAGCGCTGACTGGATTTTACATGGGAGACCAAAGTTTACACTATAAGCCACTCCACTGTCACAACAGGGACACAAAGAGCAGATGCAGTGCAACCTCATTCCTCCGTGGCCCCTGCTGCTTTGGTAATTACCTGACGTAGATATCGAGCTGCTTCAGGAGACGATCATATTCCTCGTGGAGGGTTTCCTTCTCTTGCTGCAACAGCGACAGCTGCTCTGAAAGGTTCTGATTGTTTTTTTGACAATGGAGCTGCTGAAAAACAGATGCATGTTTTAGAATTTCTCTTTAAAAAAATGTAGGGACTGAAAACGTCCTTTCAATCCTTGTGCTCCCGGCTCTGGGCTCAACAGCTTCTCTGTCATAAAGCCTCCTTTTTGCCCCAGTAACCAGACAAAGGAACAATCATATCTAGTCTATCCTGCTCTTGCCACAGGAGGAGTCTGCCTCTTCCTAGCTAAGTTGGAAGAATGTGGATCTCCCTGTTGCTCCTGGGAGGGACACAGAGTGAAGGGACACAGCTCCCAGGTGTATTGTCTCCCACATGGATTGCTGTGCAAAAGGCCCCATGCTCTGAAAGGAAAGGGGCTGCCTTCTCCTGTTCCATCCTCCTGCCCCCACCCAACCCTCCCACGGAGCTCTATTCACAATAAGCTTTAGACCTTGTCTATGATACAATGGCACAGCTGCAGTGTTGCAGTGTAGATGCTTCCTACACCAACGGAAGGGGGTTTTCTGTGGATGCAATTACGCCACCTCTCCAGGAGGCAGTAGCTAGGTTAATGGAAGCACTCTTCCATTTGCCTACCTGCGTCTACACCAGGGGTTAGGTCAGTCTCACTACAGCGCTCAGGGCATGACTTTTTCACAGCCCTGAGCGACGCAGCTAGGTGGAGCTAATTTTTAAGTGTAGCCCAGGCATTAACCAGGAGGGTGGGATGGTGTTGTGGAGGGGACCACAGAGAGCTCCCTCTGTTTTCACATTACTGATATTCTAATCCAGGCCCCTAAGAGATGCCGAACACCTGGAATCCCTGTTGAAATCAGTGGGAGCTGCAGGATCTCAGAACCTCTCAGGATTTGACCCTGTGTTATCAAGTTCTGGGCACGGGCCCTGCAACTCTACTGCTCCGAGACTGAGCCCTCTGGCTCCAGCGCCTCTGTTCTCACTGTGGCTCTTTAGTGGGTCCAAATGAGCGTTGACTCCTGGTGGAGACTTCACTGGGGAGCAAGACAACCAGCGGGGATTTCTAGCAAAGCAGGACAACCTATTCAGAACAAACCAGCATTTACCAGTCAACTAGAACACCACTAGAGCACGGTACTAAAGGGTCCTTAGGTTAGCGTGGAAAAGGAAAACTTCACTGAGAGCCCACGCTGGCGGAATTACCTGCCCCTGCTGTCCAAAGCCTCCTGGATTTCATCTCTCTCTGTTTCTTTCCCCTCTACCCTGGGCAGCTGCAATCTTCTATCCCAGTCTGCTCATACCAAGCCTCTTGTCCCCAGCTGCAGCCGTGCCGTGTTCACACGTCCTGCTTCCTACAGTTCCCAGCCATTAAAAGTTAATGTCCAGTCTTTGGTCCTCCATTGTATCTCCCAAGGCAAATTCATCCGTATGGGGACAGTTCCTTGATAGTTCATTCATACCAACCCAGGCAAGCCCACGTGACACCACCATCCCTATCCCCTATCCGCCTGTCCCAGAGGAGAAATTAACTCCTTCACACCCAGTGGGTAGCAATACAAAGTGAGTGAGGATACGGAGTCACACATATCTTTCATAACAAGGCCACAAACATTTCCACATTCTCCACAGCAGCATTATCAGCTGACAGGGAAGTCCTGACTCTTAGCTTGATGATCTGTATTGAAGTTAGTCATTAGAACAGCAGCATCATTTATGCCACCAACCTGTCCCCTTCCCAAACAGCCATCCCCAGAGCAGCCATGTGTAACTTACCTCATTTAATGCTGTTTTTTTTTCCTCCTCTAATATACGCAGTTGTGCCTCCTGCTGCTGAAACCTGACCTGCAGCTCCGCATGCGTCTTGGCCAGCAAAGTCTCAGTCTCGTGTGAGTGTCTGAGCTGTTGCTGCAGCTCCTCTGCATGCTGATCCAGGAGCTTCCTAAAAGCATGTCATGGCAATGAGGCAACAATGGACAACCGCTGATAAGAAGTCAAGTTGACAGGGTTTCACAGTTACTCTGGGCCTGGTCCCCACAGAGATTTTGTATCAGTATAAATAGTTATATCAATGCAACCCCTAGTATGAACCCAGTTATATTGGTATAAAGGCACCTTATACCAGCACAGTTTGTTCTCCTTTCCACATGGGAATAAGCTTTACTGGTATAAGCACCTTTATTCTGGTATAACTGCATCCACACTGGGGGAGTTGGACCCTTTTAACTACATTGGTATGGTTAAAGAGGTGTAGACCAGGCCAGTTACTAATGCAAAGCCCCCTCTGAAGATCATTAGTCATTAGAGCTGTGAATCAGAAAGACAATGACATGAAATGAGCTAAGAATACAGTGACCTAGGGACCCACTGATGCCAACTGGCAGAGGGCACGGGGGGTCATAGGGATCCCCTGGGTCGGATATTTGCATAACAGTTCATTGAAGGCTGGCATGTGAGATCTCTACTGAGAGCCAGTAGCCCACTGGTCATCATAACCAGTATGAAATGTATGTACGGATAATATTTAAGGATTTATGTACCTATCCTGAAAATGATGCTCTTAAGTAGGGCTGTCAATGAATTGCAGTTAACTTACATGATTGATTTAAAAAAATTAATCGCGATTAAACATATTAATCGTGATTAATGGCAGCTTTAATCGCACTGTTAAACAATAATAGAATAGCAATGGAAATTTATTAAATATTTTGGACTTTTTCTACATTTTCAAATATATTGATTTCAATTACAACATAGAATACAAAGTGTACATGCTCACTTTTTATTATTTTTATTACAAATGTTTGCACTGTAAAAATGATAAAAGAAATAGTATTTTTCAATTCACCTCCTACAAGTACTGTAGTGCAATCTCTTTGTTGTGAAAGTGCAACTTGCAAATGTAGATTTGTTATTAAATAACTGCACTCAAAAACAAAACAATGTAAAACTTTAGAGCCTACAAGTCCACTCAATACTACTTCTTGTTCAGCCAATTGCTAAGACAAACAATCATAGAATATCAGGGTTGGAAGGGACCTCGGGAGATCATCTAGTCCAACCCCCTGCTCAAGGCAGGACCAATCCTCAACTAAATCATCCAAGTTTGTTTACATTTATGGGGGATAATGCTGCCCACTTATTTACAATGTCACCTGAAAGTGAGAAAAAGGCGTTCACATGGCACTTTTGTAGCCAGCATTGCAAGGTATTTACGTGCTAAACATTCATATGCCCCTTCATGCTTCAGCCACCATTCCAGAGGACATGCTTCCATGCTGATGACGCTCGTTAAAAATGACTGAACTCCTTGGGGAAGAACTGTATGTCTTCTGCTCTGTTTTACCCAAATTCTGCCATATATTTCATGGTTATAGCAGTCTTGGATGATGACTCAGCACATGTTGTTCTTTTTAAGAACACTTTCACTGCAGATTTGACAAAATGCAAAGAAGGTACCAATTTGAGATTTCTAAAGATAGCTATAGCACTCAACCCAAGGTTTAAGAATCTGAAGTGCCTTCCAAAATTTGAGAGGGATGAGATGTGGCGCATGATTTCAGAAGTCTTAAAAGAGCAACACGCTGATGCAGAAACTACAGAACCTGAACCACCAAAAAAGAAAATCAACCTTCTGCTGGTGGCATCTGACTCAGATGATGAAAATGAACATGCGTCGGTCTGCACTGCTTTGGATCGTTATCGAGCAGAACCTGTCATCAGCATGGACACATGTTCTCTGGAATGATGGTTGAAGCATGAAGGGACATATGAATCTTTAGTGCGTCTGGCACATAAATATCTTGCGATGCTGGCTACAACAGTGCCATGTGAATGCCTTTTCTGACTTTCAGGTGTCATTGTAAACAGGAAGCTGGCAGCATTATCTCCCATAAGTTCAACTTTCATGATAAAGAGATTGCACTACAGTACTTGTAATGGGGGAATTGAAAAATACAATTTCTTTTGTTTTTTAAAGTGCAAATATTTGTAATAAAAAATAAATATAAAGTGAGCAATGTACACTTTGTATTCTGTGTTGTAATTGAAATCAATATATTAGAAAATGTAGAAAAACGTCCAAAAATATTTAAATAAATGATATTCTAATATTGTTTACCAGTGCGATTAATCGTGTGATTAATCGCGATTTATTTTTTAATCGCTTGACAGCCCTACTCTTAAGGTCTTGGAGTTAAGGCAAATCACCAGGAGGTGCTATACCTTGGAAATGTTCCTTCCAGGCAGGAGGTAACAGAGACTTCTCGCCCTATGCGATGATTAGGGTGTTCTGTTTTATGCCTTACTGTGTGCCTATTTGCATACTGAGCCACAAGCAAAAGAAGAGATTGAGAAATCTACAAGAGAGCAAATCTACAAAATGAAACCAACAGCAGGGGGTGAGCGGTTTATGAATAAAGACAAAGGATGGGATTGGTATATCTTGGGGACCAAAGAAACACATGGAATCCGTCACCTCAGAGGCAAGGTGACAGTGCCTCTGTCTCATGAAAGGAGGGTCACAGGCAACCTGGCTGTAAAGTGCTGCTGAGAAATACTTGGTTAGACAGAAGAGTATCTAGTAAATTAAGTCTAGGCTCTAGCATGTGTGCTAGGATTTTATTTTATATGTAACCATTTGTTTCCATTCTTCCACTTGCAACTACTTGAAAATCTCTGTTAAATAAACAGACTTTATTTCACTCTATACATATGCAAGTGCCGTGTGTTAAGCGGAGTGGTGATCGGAGGTGCCTGGTAAGCTAGAGTGTATTGTTTCTTTGGAAGCAGCCAATCTGTGAATATTGTGAGGGTTCAGTGGACCAGCGGCTGGACACATCAGGGAGATGCTCAGAGGATTCAGGGGTTGGAGTGTGCCTATCGCTAACCTGTAGAGAGACAGCAGGACCTGCAAGGCCCAAAGGGAACGGCGTGTGTTGCCCATGGCTGATGGAGTTGCGGAGTTGAACCCGGCAGACAAAGACGGGGCTTCCCCATGGCAAGGACAGAGGGGAGCGAGGTGCCTCCCAACCTTGGGTAACCCCAGGAAGCGTCACCAATGCTAAGGACATCTCTTTGTGTTGTGCCCACTACACATTTTGCCCTTCCTGGAGTCAGAGACCTTGTGATGGGGAAAAGAAAGACTTATTTTAGGACTTGTCTACATGGGAAAGTTAGTTGTGAAATAAGCTAGGGAATGTAAAATGCAATAGCTTCTCCACACTAGCTCCCCGACGAGTCGCTCTTATTCCACTTCCAAAATGGATTAACCAATGCGGAATAGCTATTCCCCAGTGTAGACAAGCGTGGAGTCCATCCTCACCTGAGAGCAGGTGCAGGTCCTACCCAGCCACTGCAGGAGGTGCACTTCCGAAGTTCATTCCGGTTCTAGGGATATTTTGGTTCTAGCTGCATTCGCCATTATCGGTACAGGGAGTCCCCCTGAAACCGCCAATATCTCCAGGACCAGAATGACCTTGTTAACCTTACCAGTTGTGCTATACTCCAAAGGAAACATGCCGTAGAACCCCTCCCCCGCTTCGGAACCGTGCAGCATAATCTAGGTGGTTACGTCCCTAAGGGAAGTTTCCCGCAGTGACTGATGCAGCAATGTCTGCCTGAGTTTGCACAGGGACAGGGACTGTAGTGGGATGTGCCGCATTCAGTCTCAGGGGGAGTTAATGCTGAGGCCAACTGATCACCATTTAGAAGTTGACATTGTTAACTCTTTCATTGCCGATCACCCAGCCATTGTGTCTGTTTAGGCTTGAAATTAGACGAAGGTTTCTAACCATCAGAGGGGTGAAATTTTGGAACAGCCTTCCGAGGGAAACGGTGGGGGCAAAAGACCTCTCTAGCTTCAAGATTAGGCTAGATAAGTTTATGGAGGGAATGGTTTGATGGGATAACGTGATTTTAGTCAATTAGGCAATAACGTGCCATCGCTGGTAAAATGAAGGTCCGGCTGGAGAATCTTGCCTGTAAGCTCGGGGTTCTACTGATCTACTGTTCCTTCTGGGTCGGGAAGGAATTTTCCTCCAGGGTAGATTGGCAGAGGCCCTGGAGGTTTTTCGCCTTCCTCCGCAGCATGGGGCACGGGTCGCAAGCTGGAGGATTCTCTGCGACTTGAAGTCTTTAAATCACGATCTGGAGACTTCAACAGCTGAGTTAAGGGGAAGTGGGTGGGTCAGCTTTTGTGGCCTGCATCATGCGGGAGGTCAGACTAGATGATCATAATGGTCCCTTCTGACCTTAAAGTCTATGAGTCTATGAGTGTCTCTCCATTGGTATTGAACGCCCTGGTGAATGCTGCAGTGGGGGGCAGTGGGGAAGGCAGGTGCTGTTGAAGGTTGCTGGGGTGGGGAATTATGGGCCTAATTCAGTCTGAGGTTACAGGACCCTAGTGGCAGAAAGTCCACCAAGAGCAGTGACTGGGGAGTGGGTGAGATCAGCACCACTGCCAGGCAGCCTCTGCAGTGGAGTTCACACAGAGGACATCCTAGCGGGCAAAGCTATGGAGGTGCTGCAGCAGCTCCTCTGCATGCTGATCCAGGAACTTCTTGAAAACATGGCATGGCAATGAGGTAGAATCCCTGACGGTCCTGCCTTCCCTCCAGGGTAAATGATTCTCCTGATCCAGCTGCCCCTGTGGGTTGCGTCCCCTTGTCCTTGAAGGAACAACTCAGGCTCTAGGAGTTCACAAAAATCTCTCTACATATTACCACAGCCCTAATCATCTCTGTTGCTGTGAAATGCACTGTCTTATCTATGCAGCCTGGCACACTCTGCTGTGGCCATTCCAATCAGCACCAAGTCCTTTCCTCCCTTCGTCCCATCTAACTTGCTGAATAGTCACACATGCGTTTTCCAAGACTAGAGTCCAGTCCCCACCTCCTTAACTTACCCACACTTCTCTGTAATCTCAGCATGCTACGCCCTTGGCCAGTGACCCCTGCTATGTTCGACTGGCTATAAATGCAGACATTACATCTGATGCTATTTCTCATTTCACTTAACAATATGTTCAGACAGACATACAGATAACATTAGCTACCATCTCTCTAGGTTCTTATACTGTGCCCATCACCATGGTACCTGAGTGCCTGCTCTGCTGCTCAGCCTCGTGGGTAGGGCCCTACCAAATTCACGGTCCATTTTGGTCAATTTCATGGTCATAGGATTTAAAAAATAATAAATTTAATGATTTCAGCTATTTAAATCTCAAATTTTATGGTGTTATAATTGTAGGGGTCCTGACCCAAAAAGGAGTTGTGTGTGGGGGTGTCACAAGGTTACTGTAGGGGGGGTTGCGGTACTGCTACCCTTACTTCTGCGCTGCTGCTGGCGGTGGCGTTGCCTTCAGAGCTGGGCAGCTGGAGAGCGGCGGCTGCTGGCTAGGATCCCAGCTCTGAAGGCAGCAGCACAGAAGTAAGGGTGCCATGGTATGGTATTGCCACCCTTACTTCTGCTCTCCTGCTGACGGGGTGCTGCCTTCAGAGCTGGGCCCTCAGTCAGCAGCCACCACTCTCTGGCTATCCATCTTGAAGGCAGAGCAGAAGTAATGGTGGCAATACTGCAATCCCCCTAAAATAACCTTGCAACCCCCTTGCAACTCCCTTTTGGGTCAGGACCCCCAATTTGAGAAACGCTGGTCTCCCCTGTGAAATTTGTATAGTATATAGTAAAAGTGCACAAAAGACCAGATTTCATGGGGGGAGACCAGATTTCCCAGTCCGTGACACGTTTTTCATGGCAGTGAATTTGGTAGGATCCTACTTATGGGACTCAAACTTGTCTCTCCTTCCAGTGAAGATTGAATGCTATTGACTATACTTGTCTGGACCCTTCCTGCCCCTTTCCCAATTTGAGAAATGAAATACACTGTTACGTTTCTATTCAGGGCCAGACTGGGGGTTCAAACAGCCTCTTGTACTCTTGGCCCTGATGCCTACATATTTTATCCTGTCCATTTTTACCTGCCAGTGTGGTACAGAAGCTATAATGGATTCTAGGTAAACGCCAACCACTGTCTGCCCTTCATCAATAGTCTTTGTTACTCCTTTCAATAATGCAGGTAATGAATCACATCAGAACACATCCTCAGTAAGGGGTGGGGGAGAACCCAGGAGTTTGGTAATGCTGAAAGTGACCGACTCTTAGTGTCCAATGACACACAAAGCTGGGAGCACTTTCTAAAGGCTTAGCCCAGAGAAAAGCCGAAGGTGTTATTCACATCAAGTCTGTGGACCATGGCTTTGCCAGGATGGGACAAATAAAATCCACAGGATGATGAAGGTGGAACTCTGTGGCCTTTGCTTTGCTGTATAGCTATCCTGGCAAAGCCCCCTAGTGTAGACACAGCTTATACCAAACAAAGGAATTTTTCTGCTGGCGTAGCTAAACCTCTTCCCCGAATGACATCAGCTATGTGGACAGAAGCACTTTTCTCTCGGCATAGCTGTGTCTGCACTGGGGGGTTGCCGGCATCGCTGTGTTGGCTGAGCGGGGGTCTCTTCACACCCTGACTAACTTACCTAGACTGACAAAAATGTGTAGTGTAGACCTGACCTGTCAGTCACCCCTTTGGAAGGAACTTAGCATGTGTCCATAACACCAACTTATCTTTAAAGGCTGTAGTCAACGGGATCACTCGCTAGGGCCTGCTGCTCACTCGCTCTAGGAGCTGAAGCCCAGATGCCATGACGATGGGCACACTATAACCAAGGCCCTGCGTACTCTGCAGCAAGCTGGACCTAGCTTTTGTGGTGAGGTCCCTGGGTTCTGCAGCCTCTGGTGGAAATCTGGACCGTCCCTGGCAGCTTTGGGTGAATTTAAAACATTGAGGTTTTCGTTGAGTTATCAGCCTGGCAAACCCTCTCTGCCAGATCCATGTACTCCCCAGTCAGGAGCAGAGTGGTTTTGTGGCCAGTGCACTGGACTGGGAGTCAGGAGAGCTGGGTTTTATTCCCAGCTCTCCCACTGACTCGCTGCATGACCTTGGGCAAGTCACTTCCTCTCTCTGTTCCCCTCCAACCTTTGTCCATCATGTTTATTTAGACTATATGTTCTCTGGGGCAAGGACCATCTTGTGCCCTGTATTTGTAAAGCACCCAGCCCAGCGGGACTCTGAGCTTGCTTGGGGCCTGAAGGTGCTGCCACATCACATATAGAAATAACAATGCTAAAACCCCATTCTGGGGCAGGAAGGCTTTTTGCTGAGCTGAGGCGCCCTCTGACTGGAACGCAGAACACGGGCAGGCTGGATATTTGCTCCTTCCGGAGGTTTTTGCTGCTTGTGATTAGGCCTTTGCAGCCCCTGGTGGAGTTTGCTTGCAGCACTCACCATGCGACACTCAAGTCACACAGCCCCAAGAGCACTGCTCAGAGCTCCCTCTCCAGGGGTTGGATTTCTGCAGGGGAGACCATGACAAAAGCATTCCCCTGCCACCTCCCTCCTCCTCCCTACAGTGCCCATCACCACAGGCTGGTGACAGTGGGACACCCTTAATTCTGGGTGTGAGGGGATCCCCATTTCCCGTTCAGCCTAAAGCAGTAATGCAGCCCTACTCCACTGCCAGGCAGAGCACCATGTAAGCGGTAGGCCAGCGTGTTCCCGGAGCAGCCAGCATCCTGGGACTAGCACCCCCTCACCTCAGCAACATGACAACCCCAGTTCCTTTCACCTTTTCCGCTGCTCTTCCTGGAGCTGCCGCAGCAGCTGAGTTTCCCTTTCTTGGGCCTCCTTTAACTCCTCCTCCATTTGCTTCCTGCCCAAAACGTGGGTCTCAGTTAGGCGGAGCTGGTGATGGGACTCCTTCAGCTTTTGCTGTAGCTCCAAAACCTTGGGGGAAATTGGTTGCAGATTAGACAAACAGTAAATGACAGGTTTTGGCTGGACGCTGTCAATAACAGCTGGCTACTGCAGGTCAGCCTGGGCTGCTGGAGAACGGAACCTGTCTCCGGTACAGTCTGCAGGGCCAGCCTCTCCCACCCCTGCTGCATGCTAATTTGTGGTACCGCAATGCCACCTCTGCTGCCTGAAGGAACGGCTTCTCCGAACCTCCCCTGGCACAGGGAATGCACAGACAGCGCCTACATTAGAAGCAAAAGGCAGACCAAGGACAGAGTAGGCCCATTACTCAGTGAGGAGGGAAAAACAATAACAGAAAATGTGGAAATGACAGAGGTGCTTAATGATTTCTTTGCCTCGGTTTTCACCAAGAAGGTTGGTGGCATCTAACATAGTTAATGTCAGTGAAAATGAGGTAGGATCCGAGGCTAAAACAGGGAAAGAACAAGTTAAAAATTACTTAGACAAGTTAGATGTTTTCAAGTCACCAGGGCCTGATGAAATACATCCTAGAATACTCAAGGAGCTGACTGAGGAGATAGCTGAGCCATTAGCGATTATCTTTGAAAAGTCATGGAAGACAGGAGAGATTCCGGAAGATTGGAAATGGGCAAATACAGCGACAATCTAAAAAAAGGGGAATAAGGACAACCCGGGAAATTACAGAGCAGTCATCTTAACTTCAGTACCTGGAAAGATAATGGAGCAAATAATAAAGCAATTTATTTGCAGACATCTAGAAGATAATACGGTGATAAGTAACAGTCAGCATGGATTTGTCAAGAACAAATCATGTCAAACCAACCTGATAGCTTTCTTTGACAGGGTAACATATACCATTAGACGTGGTATATCTTGACTTTAGTAAAGCTTTTGATACTGTCTCACATGACCGTCTCATAAACAAACTAGGGAGGTGGGTGCACAACTGGTTGGAAACCGATCCCAGACAGTAGTTATCAGTAGTTCACAGTCAAGCTGGAAGGGAATAATGAGTGGGGTCCCGCAGGGCAGAGCCGTAACTAGCTATTTTTGCACCCGAGGCAAGAATATAAAATTGCGCCTCCCCCCCCCCCCCCGCTCCTCTGGCAGCGCCGCCCCCCGTTGGCTCCTCCAGCCGCGCCCCCCTCTTGGCTCCTCCGAGCGCGCCGCGGCTATGCTGTGCCCCCCCCCCATGCTCCTCCGCCCGTGCCCCCCCTTGGCTCTTCCAGCCGCACCATGTGGTGCCCTCCCTTGGCTCCTCCGGGCTCGCCACCACCCCCCTTGGCTCCTCCGGTCACGTTGCGGCCATGCTGCGCCCCCCCCTTGGCTCCGCCGGCTGCGCTGCGGCCATGCTGTGCCCCCCCTCACTGCTCTCCCCTCGCTGCTCCGGCCGTGCCGCTCCCCCCTTGGCTCCTCCAGCCGTGCTGTGCCCCCCCCGCCTCTGGCCACAGGCCCTCCCGTGCCTTGCTCCTCTGGCTGTGCCATGACCCCCCCGCTCCTCCGGCCGCACCCCCACCCTTGTGCCTCTCTCCTCCGGCTGCACTGTGCCCCCCTGCTCCTCCAGCTGCACCGCCCCCCCCGCACCTCGCTCCTCCGCCTGTGCCGTGCCCCCCCGCTCCTCCAGCTGCGTCCCCC